GTAGTCGTAGTCGTAGTCGTAGTCGTAGTCGCAGTCGTAGTCGTAGTCGTAGTCGTAGTCGTAGTCGTAGTCGTAGTCGTAGTCGTAGTCGTCGTCGTCGTCGTCGTCGTCGTCGTAATCGTAGTCCTAGTCCTAGTCCTAGTCCTAGTCCCAGTCCCAGTCCTAGTCCTAGTCGGAGCCGTAGGCCTTTAAGCCCATCGCCGTCTGGAAGCGGCCCGGCCGGGACGAGGAGCCAGTCCCCAGGAAGCGGTCCTTCTTCTCCACGGGCCCACGTCGCGCACAGAGCGCGGCGCCAGAGTCTCTGGGATCGAGGTCCTCACGTCCCGAGGAGGAGGAGGAGGAGGAGGGGGAGGAGGGGGAGGAGGAGGAGGAGGAGGAGGAGGAGGAGGAGGAGGAGGAGGAGGAGGAGGAGGAGGAGGAGGAGGAGGGGGCCCCAAAAAATACAGAGGAGGCCCATGCCAAGAAACAGGTTCCCTTCCACTGACGCCGCGGGCGTCCGCCCGCCACGCCACGCCCCTCACGGGGCCGCTCGGGGCCTGCAGGTCCCCGTGAGCCATCGCGCTCCCGGGGCGGGCCGGGAGTAGGTGCCCAACGCAGGCGTCTCGGCCACACGCAGTTCAGAGGAGGGGGATCTTTCTCGCTGGAGCGTTCTTTGTCAGGAGGGAGAGAAGCACACACAGGCACAATGGATCGTCGATCCCCAGGAAAGCTATGGGCTATAGGAAGATATGGGAGGTGGGGGGGAAGACGAACACCCAGAAAATGTTGGAAAATATTGGGGATCCTGGGATGTGTGTGTGTATTTTTCGTGTGCATCCCTGAGCCCCTTCACTTTGGTGCGCGCCCTTCGGGAGTAGGAGGAGGAAGAGGAGGAGGAGGAGGAGGAGGAGGCTGGAGGAGGAGGAGGGAGGAGGAGGAGAAGGAGGAGGAGAAGGAGATAGGAGATAGGAGGAGGTAGGAGGAGGAGGAGGGAGGAGGAGGAAAAGGAGGAGGAGGAGGAGGAGGAGATAAGAGATGGGAGGAGGTAGGAGGAGGAGGAGGAGGAGGAGGAGGAGGAGGAGGGGGAGGAGGAGGGGGCCAAGAAAATACAGTGGAGGCCCATGCTAAGAAGCACCCTGTTTGCCTCCAGGGCGCTCTGGGTTTCTTGGGTGTCGATGGCTTTGCGATGGAAAGCGTGGCGTTCCCACACCAAAAACCAGTGGACGTCCTGGGGCCTCAGGGTTAGGTGTCTTGTGGAAGGTGTCTTGTGGACGAGCTCCTACTGTATGGGTTCGCACCCGACGTGTGGCCGGCAGAGCTGGGCCCGAAGCGGGCCCTCATTCACCGAGCGCGTTCCACTACTCGAAAAGTGCCCACTCGCAAACGTCCGAAAACATACATGCTTGCCTCGATGCCATGGATCGTAGATCCCCCGCAGCGGAGCCTGGCCGTTTTTGCGAGCAGTCGCTTTGCGAGTAGTGGAACGCGCTTGTCTACGCATGGGGGCCTCGGTAGTGGTGGCCAGGCCAGCTTCTCTAGGCCTCCCAGCCAGGGTCCAAGCAAATGGGGTCAGAGGATCGCGCTGCATCGCCGATGCATCGGCGATGCGGCGAGATGTGGAGCACGATTTTCTCCGCGCCGGCGTCGCCGATACACCGCTGATACGTCGCCGATGCATCGGCGATGCAGCGCGATCCTCCGAACACATCTACAGTGGGGGCGTTGGTTAAGGAATGTGCCCAAAGGTTTCAGACCTTGGGACATTTCTGATCTGATGAGGGCGGCGGTGAGATTCATGGCCACTCCACGATTGGAGCTCCACCGGCTTCCAGACCCTGGGGTTCTTTCCCCAACGGTTCCTTATCCAATGCCCTCACCGCATTCGGACCTCATCTGCGGTAGGTTCGTGCGGCTATGGCGCATCGGCGACGCCAGAGAAGGCGTTCAAGGTTGAACTCCGCAGGATAGAGCGACGCGGAAGCACCGAGGGACACGGTGGCGCCACAGGGCCCGACGGAATTCAGCCTTGAACGAGCGGAGCCGCGATCGGTCCAGGGTTGAACGATCGAGGCGGTGTCACAAACCTCTGCGGGCGTCGCGCGTCCACGCCTCGCGAACCTACCGTAGGAGGCCTCTAGCCTCCTCCTCCTCTTCCTCCTCCTCCTCCTCCTCCTCCCCCTCCTTCTCCTCCTCCTCCTCCTCCTCCTCCTCCTCCTCCTCCTCCTCCTCCTCCTCCTCCTCCTCCTCCTCCTCCCCCCCTTTCCTGCAGGGCGGCCCGCGGGGCCGGCGCTGAGCCCGCAGCCCTCGCCGCGCGGCCTGACGAGGCCGCCGCGGGGCGCGCCGCCTACGTCTCGCTGCTGTTCGGCGCCGGGCCCGAGGCGCGCGGCTACGCGCTGGGCGCGCGGGTGCAACGACAGAGAGGGGGGGGGGGATACATAGGGGAACAAAAAGTGACACAAACGTAAAAACTCGGAGGTCCGCGCGGATTTCTCGGATCGGCGCTGGACCCCCCCTCCCTGGCGCGCGGAGCGCGCCAGGGGCGGCGCCGAAGGCGCCGCCGGGGGCCCCAGCGCCGATCCGAGAAATCCGCGCGGACCTCCGAGTTTTTATGTTTATGCCACTTTTTGTTCCCCTAATACAGTTCTCGCCAGTACCCCTTTAATGCCCATCTTCTGCTCCCTCGTCTCGCACGTGCTCCTCCGAGAGGGCGGGGTGCATACTCGGCAGGGGATCCACAAGGAAGGAGCCACAATCACGTTCCACTCGAGAGCTTGCCCCGCGTTTCTTGAGGTGAGGAGTTTGTCCCTGGGCTCGAGCTGGACGGTGTTTTGGCAGGGCAACGACAGGGAGGGGGGGGGATACAGTCGGAAACTGGAACGTATACATTACCAGGGTCGGGTTGTTTTTCAATCCCAGGACTTTGGGGGGATCGGGGGCGACGTCGGGGTGGTGTGGTGTATACTTGTTCCCCCGCTTTCCCAGGGAAACGACGAAGCACGCATACACCAGGATCCCGCATACACCAGGATCCGCTCTCCTGTGCGAGATTCAGTGTGAGGCCAAACGAGGGCGTCGGCGTATAGAGTTCGGCTCCTTATACAGTGGGGGCGCGCATCAAGAAGCCATATGCTCTTCGTCAGGGTATCCTGTGCTTCTTCGCTCCGAGCGCTGCGCGGTCGAGGTCCGAGGATCTCGGGCGCTCCCGTCGGTGCTCGGCGGCGTTCCGGCCTCGGGATGCCTTCCAGCGGCCGCGCCTCGCCGAGGGCGTTCCGGGGGTGCCCGGACTCGCCCCGAACGGCCGCCGGAGGCCCGAGTTAGGATCGCAAAACCGAGAGAGACGAGGATCGAGGATCGGGAAGAGGCGCAGCGAGGGATGCATTGACCCCCGATCGCCCATGGATCGCCGCTCGGGGTCCGACAGACCCACCCCGCCCGAGAGCGCTTGGACTTGCCATCGGGGACCTCCGGCGGCCGCTCGGGGCGAGTCCGGGCACCCCCGGAACGCCCTCGGCGAGGCGCAGCCGCCGGAAGGCATCCCGAGGCCGGAACGCCGCCGAGCGCCGACGAGAGCGCCCGAGATCCTCGAACCTCGACCCCCCCCCCTCCTACCCAGACATGCGACGTCCTGATGTTTTCAATGCGGGGCCCCCAAAAGTGCCGAGCCTTTCCGCGGGACCTGGTTTTTTGTCCCCGAGTCGCTTTTTGACGGCCCCGAGGCCCGGCGAGGGCCCCCAGGGGCCGAAAGTAGCCAAAAACCTCCCGCCCTGATTTCTGTTTGACCGACGCCATCCTGTCTGGGTATGCCTATCCCTGTGTCTACAGCACGGGCGCGACCGCAATAAACCCTCGCAAGAAACCCAACCCTGAGAACCCGCGCGCGAAGTGCACCTGAGGGGAAACCAGAGCACCCTGAGCGCAGCAGCTCCTCCAACGGCCGCGGGCAGTCGCCGCGCAGCGCGCGGAGCGAAGAAACCCAGGATACCCTGACGAAAAGCATATGGTTTCTTGATGCGCGCCCCCACTGTCTGGGTATGCCTATCCCCCCTGCCCTGCCGGTGCCCCTCAGGCGCGCTGGTGCTGGCGCACGCGCTGCGCCGCACCGGCTGCCGGCACGAGCGGGTCCTGAGGCTCGGAGGAGGGCCCGCGGAGAGAGCGGCCGCACCCCCCTTGCGCGGTGAGGAGCGGCATCGCACCAGGACGCGAAGCGGACCCAGACCTGATCGCGTCGTTAAAAAATCAGGACGCGCGGTTTTTGGCCAATTTTGACCTCCAGAGGCCCTCGCCGGGCCCCGGGACCGTCAACAAAACGACTCAGGATGACAAACCGGCCCCGGGGAAAGGGTCTGGATTTCCGGGGACGCCGTCTTGGAAAAATCAGGACGTCGCCTGTGTGGGTCGTCGTCGCCTTCGCAATCAAGCACCCCAACGTTGTGCGCCGGACTGTGTGCATTCCTGCCCGTAGCTCTGCGTGCCCGGCCGGAGCACGGGCCCAAAGCTTCTGACTGCGAGGCCGGCTCCTGAACAACACGATTGGGCCACTGCTGATGGGCTTGTTCTCCACCATCACCACCATAAGTTGGAGGGGGAGGGGGTCCTCCTCCTCCCTCCTCTCCCTCCTCCTCCTCCTCCTCCTCCTCCTCCTCCTCCTCCTCCTCCTCTACCTCCTCCTCCTCCTCCTCCTCCTCCTCCTCCTCCTCCTCCTCCTCCTCTAATTACCTCCTCCTCCTCCTCCTCCTCCTCCTCTTCCACCTCCTCCTCCTCCTCCTCCTCCTCCTCGTCCTCCTCCTCAGTCCCCCCTCCAACTTATGGTGGTGGTGGAAAACAGGCCCATCAACTGCTCAAGCCATCACGGCTTCCGGACCCCCCTCGGGCCGTGAAAAAAGAAGGCACGACGGGAGGCTTGGAGCTACTTGCGGCCTGAGGGGGGCTCTGCACCCTGGCGGGCGAAGAGCGGCATCGCACAAGTTTTGGTTCGCCGTCGGGGGCGCCTGCCCCGGGGCGGCTTGGAAGTTTCTCCCCCTGCGGCGGCGCGTCGGGGTATGAGCTCTCCGGCCGCCCTGGGACAGGCGCCCCCGGCGACGGAAAAGGTTACTCTATACCGTCCTTCGCCCGCTAGTTCCCAGGCCTCGGGGCCGTCAGGGTCGAGACTTGTGATCCTTTCCACGTAGGAGTGATTCCTCTCGCTTCGCGGGGTGCACGTCCGGAGCACGTACAGTCACGTCGTCGCCGAGCCTCTTGGGAGCCTCTTGGGGGCCTCCTGGAGGCCTCCTGGGAGTTTCCTTGGGCCTCTTGGGGACTTTTTGGGGGCCTCTCCCCCCCCCTCCTTTTCAGACTCCCTCCCCATATTTCCTTCCAGCGCCGGCTCTAATCATGGGCGCCGCTGTGACCAACTTCCACCTGGCTGGCGCTGCGCCGCAGTTCACCCAGGTTGGAAAAATGGCATTACACTCCAGTCGCTGTGTGGCCTTTGGGGGGCTTCTTTGGAGCCTTTGGGAGGCTTCTTGAGGACATCTTGGAGGCCTCTTGGGGGTTTGGGGGGGCCCCTTGGGGGCCTCTTGGGGGCCTCTTGGGGCATCTTGAGGGCGTCTTTGGCCGTATTGGGGCGCTTTTGCGCCGTTTCGCCCCTTCGGAGGCCGTCTTGGGGGCCTCTCGCGGCCGCCTTGGGGCCGTCTTGGGGTCTTCTTGGGCCGTCATAGGGGCTTCTTGGACCGTCTTTGGGGCCTCTTTGGGCCGTCTTGGGGTTCTGTTGGGCCGTATTGAGGCCCTCTTGGGGGTTTCTTGGGCTGTTCTGGAGCGATTTGGAAAGCTGCTTGGGCCGCAAAGGCGAGAACGCTAAAATAGTGCCCAAACCATAGGAAAATCAATGATGGCCTCTGGGGGCGCAGTTGTGGGCGCTCTTGGGGCCATCTTGGGCCGTCATTGGGGCATCTCGGACCGTCTCGGGGCCGTCTTGGCCCGCACAGAGCCCATCTTGAGCCGTCTTGGCGCCCTGTTGGCCCCCCAAGAGGCCCAAGAGGTCGAAATCATCGATTTTCTATAAGTTTTGGTAGGTTTTTGAGACCCGGCAGGGGGGGGCCCTTTGGTCCGGCGGCGTGGCGCAGCTCCCAGGGGGGATTAAGGGGGGAGACATAATAATGTAACACAATACAACATGTGGCAAGTATGCAATCATTTGATAAATTGGATACGTTGCAGTAAGGCGTTCGCCGAAAAACGCTGTCGCTCAGCACGTCACCTCCGGACGTGGATTCCTCTCGCTTCGCGGGGTACACGTCCGGAGCACGTACAGTCGCGTCGTCGCGGGGCCTCTTGGGAGCCTTTTGGGGGCCTCCTGGAGGCCCCCTGGGAGTTTCTTTTGGCCTTTTGGGGGTTTCTTTGGGGGCGTTCCCCCCTCCTTCCTTTTCATGCACCCCCCCCATCTTCCCTTCCATCGCCGGCTCCAATCATGGGCGCCGCAGCGACCAACTTCCACGCGGCTGGCGGTGCGCCGCAGTTCGCCCAAAGGGGGGGGGAAATTACATTACACACCAGTCGCTGTGTGGCCTTTGGGGGGCATGTTGGAGGCCTTTTGGAGGCTTCTGGGGGACTTCTTGGAGGCTTGTTGGGGGCCTCTTGGGGCCTCTTGGGGGCGTCTTGGGCCGTCTTGGGGCGCTTTTGCGCCGTTTCGCCCCCTCGGGGGCTGTCTTGGGGGCCTCTCGCGGCCGCATTGGAGCCCTCTTGTGGTCCTCTTGGGCCGTCTTCGCTGCCTCTTGGACCGTCTTGGGGGCCTCTTTGGGTTGTTTTGGGGCCCTCTTGGGCCGTCTTGGGGCCCTCTTGGGGATTTGTTGGGCTGTTCTGGGGCGATTCTGGAAGCTGCTTGGGCCGTCATGGATTTTTGAAAGCCGAAAAAGACGAGAACGCTAAAATGTTGCAAGAACCATCGGACAATCAATGATTTCGGCCTCTGGAGGCGCAGTTATGGGCGCTCTTGGGCCCTGTTGGGCCGTCCTTGGAGCTTTTGGGGCCCTCTTGGGGCCGTCTTGGGGGCCTCATGGGCCCCCGTTGGGAATATCTTGGGCCGTCTTGGGCCGTCTTAGGGCCATTTTGGGCCATCTTGAGGCCCTCTTGGAACCCCAAGAGGCCCAAGAGGCTGATTTGTTTTTTTTTCTCATAAGTTCTTGTAGGTTTTTAGGGTCCCAGAAGGGGGGGGCCATTTTGGTCCGGCGGTGCGGCGCAGCTCCCAGGGGGGGGGGTAGGGGGGAGACGTAATAATGTAACACAATACGATCTGTTGCAATTCTGGAATCTTTGGATACATTGGATACGTTGCGTTAAGGCGTTCGCCGAAAAAACGCTGCCGCTCAGCACGTCACCTCCGGACGTGGATTCCCCAACTGCGACGTCTGCGAGGTAGCCCCGCGGCCGCGAAGCACGAAGTACCTGGCGGCGAACAGGCCGTCGTGGACGTGCCCGGCGTGCCCGCGGGTCGGTCAGTGCGTGGTCTGTAGCGCCCCGTCACCAGACGCGGCCAAATCTGGTCGGCGTTTTCTGAACTGGGAAGGGCCGAGGTACACGTGCGACGCGTGCTTCTGGCCGCCATGCAGCGCGTGCAGGAAAACGCCGCGGCCGCACGACCGCTGGTGGACAGTTCGCGCTGCCCCGGACTGGAAGTGCGCAGATTGCGCGAAGACGCGCGAGCGAGGGAAGAGGTGCGCGTAGTCTAAAGATATCGCTCCACCTGCCACCTGCCGCTATCATCAGGGACGTCGTCGTCATCGTGTCTAATTGCGGGAAGAGGCCCGCCTGCGCCCCCGTCGCATGTGTCATCCTCTCGGTGGCAATTTTGGAGGCAGTTTGGGCCGCCATGCCTCCCTCTTGGGGACTTCTTGAGGCTCCTTGGGGGCCTATTTGGGGCATCTTGGGGCCTCTTGGGGGCGTCCTGGCCCGTCGTGGGGCGCTCTTCCGCCGTTTCGCCCCTTCGGAGACCGTCTTGGGGGCCTCCCACGGCCGCCTTGGGGCATTCTTGGGATCTTTTTTGGCCGTCTTAGGGGCCTCTTGGACCGTCTTGGGGGTTTCTTTGGGCCGTATTGGGGCCCTCTCGGGCCGTCTTGGGGCCCTTTGGAAGGCTTCTTGGAGCTTCTTGGGGTGCTTTTGGAGGGTGTTTGGGCCGTCATTGGCTTGTCAGCGTCGAGAAAGGCGAGAACGCGAAAATATTCCCAAAACAATAGGAAAATCTATGATTTTGGCTTCTGGAGGCGCTCTTGGGGGGTCCTTTTTGCACCCTTTTGCGGCGTCTTGTGAGCTTTTGGGCTCTCTCGGGGCCATCTTGGGTCGTCTTGAGGCCGTTTTGAGATTCTCTTCGGCCGCCTTGAAGCCATCTTGAGCCGTCTTGACGCCCCTTGTGGGCTCCGAGGAGGGCCCAGAGGCCGAAATCAATGATTTCCATAGGTTTTTGTAGGTTGTTGAATTAGTGCACGAAAGGGGTCGGCGACTCGGCGGCGGCCCTGGGGGGGGATTAAGGGGGGAGACATAATAATGTAACACAATACAATATGTTGCAATTATGCAATCATTGGAAACATTGGATACGTTGCATTTGGGCTTCCGCTCCGCTGCGCGACCTGCCTCCGGCAACACGTCACTTCCGGACGTGGACTCTTGGGCTTTACGCCGCACCGCCGACCCCCTGGGGGGCTCCTGGTAGGTCTCTCGGGGGCCTCCTGGCAGCACTTTTGAAGCCGTTTGGGGGCCTTTGGTGGGCCTCTTGGAGCCTCTTGGGGGCTTCTTGGGGGCCTCTGGGGGCCTCCTGGAGGCTTCTTGGGGCCGAGGGCTCGCAATTTCCGTTCGGGCCCCCTCCTGGAGCCGTCTTGGGGCCTCTTGGGCCGCCTTGGGACCTGTGATCATTCACACGTAAGAGTGACCTTTCGTTGGAGTGACCTTTGGTGCGCGCCCACTGGGGTCCCCCGGGCGCCGCGCGCGTTGCGACAGCACCGTCCTGCACGCTTGTGTCTGGCGTCCTCGCGCCCCCCCAAAGGCCGCGCACCAAAGGCCAAATTTGCCCAGGGTCGCTCTTACGCGCAGCCGATCTGAGGGTCCGTCCCTTTCTCCCATCTCCCCCTTCCCCCTTCTCCTCCTCCATAAGTGCTCAATATGAATACTACTCTCCCTCTTCCCCTGATGGCGTGCTGGGAGTAGCCGACCCCCCCCCCCGCGCCCTGCTTTTTTACACACAGGATTCCCGGTAGTTGGGTTTTCGCCTGCATTTGTTTTCAAAATGCTGCTCTCGTTGAGGCGCCGGCCTCATTTCCGGGCCCCGCTGGTTCCGAATCGTGCTCCCGCTGCAGCGCTGGCCTCATTTCCGTGCTTCCGCTCGTTCCGAATCGTGTTCCCGCTGCAGCGCTGGCCTCATTTCCGCGCTTCCGCCCGTTTCGACTCGTGTTCCCGCTGCAGCGCTGGCGTCATTTCCCGTGCCATGCCACAGCACACGCGCACACACGCACACACACACACACCACCACACCACCACCCCACCACCACCACCACCACCACCACCACCACCACCACCCCACCACCACCACCACCACCACCACCACCACCACCACCACCACCACAACCACGCACACACACGCACGCACGCACGCACGCGCACCACCACCCACTACGCACGCGCGCGCGGAGCCACAGGTCCGCTACGACACGCGTCCGCGGATAGAGAAAATCAGCGCCATGGTAAGGGATGGGAGGGAGGGGTAGGACGTCAGATATGACGCGAGCGCACCTAGCTTGCCCTCCTCCCCCTCCTCCCCTTCCTCCTCCTGCTCCTCTCCTCCTCCTCCTCCTCCTCCTCCTCCTCCTCCTCCTCCTCCTCCTCCTCCTCCTCCCTCCCTCCTCCTCCTCCTCCCTCCTCCTCCTCCTCCCTCCTCCTCCTCCTCCTCCTCCTCCTCCTCCTCCTCCTCCTCCTCCTCCTCTTCCTTTTCGTGGGCCTCCCGGAGGCCTCTCCTCGCCACGATGGGAGCTCCGCTGCGACCCGCGGGCCAGGAGGGGCCTACGACGAGGCCCAGGGGCCGACACACTGCGAGGCCCAGGGGCCCACGGCGAGGCCCCATGGGGCCCACGGCGAGATCCAGGGGCCCACGACCAGGCCCAGGAGCCGTCGTTGTCCCCGCCGGCCCTCCTCCGAGATGCACACCAGCGACGTCCCCGCGGACGTGCTGGAGGCCCTGCGGCGCTGCGGCCTGTGGCGCCTGAGGCAGGTGGAGTACCTGCACGGCAGCCACGCCCTGGGCAACATGGAGAACTGGCACGGCATCTTCACGAAGCTGAGGGCCTTCTCCCTCGTCGAGTACGAGAAGGTTTTGTTCCTTGACCTGGACATGCTGGTCCTCGACAGCCTCGATGCCCTGTTCGACCTGACGCCGCCCGCTGCCATGGTCAAGGGCAGGTGGCAGCCTGACCACGGCACGGAGCTGGATGGGCGGTTCTTCTTCCCACCAGAGCAGTGGAACGAGCCTCACGGTGGCATCAACGCCGGAGTCATGCTGCTGAGACCTGACCAGCACGTCCACGACAGGATGGAGCAGGAGGTGGCCGACAAGTGGCACCCGGAGCACATATACGCCTACGGGCCCGAGCAGGAGTACCTGTCGCGCTTCTTCGCGGACCGGTGGACGCAGGTGTCCTCGCGGCACAACTTCCAGCTCTTCCGCTTCAGCGCCTCGCAGGCTCTGCGCAAGCTGGGCGAGGTGCCGCCGGCCGCCGCCGAGGTCGTCGCCTCGCTCGCCGCGGTGCAGTTCTCCTCGCACCCCAAGCCCTGGGCCTTCGCCGGCCTCTCGGCCGAGGCCACCGCAGGCCGCGTCGCCGACTCGGTGGCCGCGGTGGCCGCGGATGCTCGGGTCGGGCGAAAGGGGGGGATTGGGAAAGGGGGGGGTACGAAATTTGCTGCATGCAGCTGGTTTCGGCCTCACCGAGGGGCCAATTCCTCGATACATGGCCGCTCCCGGCACCGGGAGGCGCCGGGAAAGTCAGCTACGTGAGCTGATTCTCAAACCCCCCCCTTTCCCAATCCCCCCCTTTCGCCCGACCCCCTTTGCCCCTCCCCCCCTTTCGCCCGACCCGAGATGCCCAGTGGTACCAGTCGGACTCCGGGCCGCCGCCGGAGCTGTGCCTGGGCGTCTCGCAGCTGCTGGTGCGGCGCTGGGCCGAGGCGTCTCGCGAGGTGGCCGCCGAGCTCCCCGAGGAGGCCGCCGTCCTCGGCTTGAGCACCGCCTGCGAGCTCGCGGAGCCGGGCCGAGGGCGCCCGTAGTGCTGCGAGGGGCGCACGGCCTCGGGGAGCAGAGGGCGCAGAAGGCACGCCAGGATTTTTGCGAGTCGAGTCCGTTGGTGTTGTGAGTCTGCGTCCGAAGCGGATCTCGCGCGTGTGAGGGGGTTTCGTCTTGAAGGATCTTTCGCGTTTGAAGGAGGAGGAGGAGGAGGAGCAGGAGGAGGAGGAGGAGGAGGAGCATGAGGAGGAGGAGGCGTGTCTCAGAGCATTCACGCTCTGAGGCACGAAGGAAGGCAGGGTTTCGTTTTGTTTGGCGTTCGCGGTTTCGGCTTGCGCGCATGGTGTGCGAGCCTGTGCAATTCCGATGCTGGTTGGACGTTGGACCCACGCCGCTCGATCAAATGTGTGCGATATTCAATGTGGCGATCGTGGCCACGATCTACGGCCGATCCTGGCATACCTGCAGATCGCATACTTACAGGTGAAGTGTACAGATGTTGGTAAGCATGCGAATGCAGTGGCACTTTTGCACGCACCGAAGCACGCAAGTGCGAGTGGATGGATGGGGAGTATAAATGCGCACTGTTAGATTGGTGTATGTATTTGTGCACGTACGCTTGAACGCGCATGCACGCTTCTCATTCACGTGGCTAGCGGTACGCGCACTGATCTTCGACGGATTCAGCCTTGCATAATGTGCCCTCCGCAAGTTTAGCCTGCTTCAGTCTGGTTTGTCAAGTTTAGCTTCTGCCGAGCCCATCATGCCAACTTACGTATCCTCCCCCTACGCCTGTCGTGCGCTCCAGATTAGCTTTCAGCTTCAATAGTGTCCGTGCAACACATGTCAGCTTTCCTGTCGTCTGCTTGGGTTAGCTGTTCGTCGGTTTACAGTCAGTCGTGCATACCAGATTTCGAAGCAGCGCCAGCGGATCCACTTCATCTCCACCATTTCAAAGGGTGGAGAGTTTTCAGACCCCCCCTTTCGGGTAGGGGGTTCGGACCCCTTCTTTTTGGCGCCGACCGAAGAAGGAGGGGGGGGGGGGTCGGACCCTTCCCCCCCCCCTCCCTGCCTTTGCGCAGGAGATGGTGCGGGGAGGGGACCCGCTGCTATTCCTTTGCGCCAGTCAGGGTGTCACGGTAGGACTCGGGTTAGGGTGTTTGGGTTAGGGCGATCGGGGTAGGGTTCGGGGTAGGGTCCCAAGAGCGTGCGCGGATCAAACACTTTCCAGGCACAGCTGGGCTTTCTCGGGGCTATATTTGGGGCGCGCCTGGGTCTTGCTTCTATTGGGGTGTTAGGGCTATGGTGCGATTGCTAAGTTGTTAGGGTTAGACTGTCGGGATTAGTGTTAGGGCGTTAGGGTCAGGGTGCTAGGATTAGGGTGTCAGGATTCGGTTGTTAGGGTTTCTGCGTTTTTTGATGTGGGCTTAAGGTTTGGGTGTTTGACTTAGCGTGTTAGGGTTAGGGTGTTTGGGTGTTACGGTGTTAGGGCCAGGGTGTCAGGGTTAGGGTGTAAATGTTGTGGTTAGGGTGTTAGAGACTTGGTGTTAGGGTTTGGGTGTTACGCTTAGTAGGGTAGGGGTAGGGTTAGGGCGGCAGTGCTCGGGATAGGTTGTTAGGGCTAGGCATGGGGTAGGGTGTTTGGTCTAGGGTGTTGGGCTTAGGGCGGTAGGGTTCGGGCTAGGGTGGTAGGGTTGGGATTAGGGTGGTAGGGTTTCGGTTTTGGCGATAGGATCACGGTTAAGGTGCTAGGGTTGGGGTGTTCGGGTTAGAGTGTTAGGGATAGGGTGTTCGGGTCGGGGTGTTCGGGTCAGGGTGTTGGGCTTAGGGTGGTAGGGTTAGGTTGGGTCAGGATCAGGGTGTTAGGGTTAGGGTTAGGGTGGTAGGGCTAGAGTCAAGGCGGTAGGATTAGGGTTAGTTTATTTTGTTTTCAGCGTTTTGGGGTTAGGGTTTAAGGTGTGAGTGTCAGAGAGTTTGGGTGTTAGGGTCAGGGTGTTAGGGTTTGGGTGTTAGGGTTGGGGTTAGGTTGTTAGGGTCAGTATGTTACGCTTAGTGTGGTAGGCTCAGGTCAGGGCGATAGGGTTCGGAGTAGGGTGTTAGGGCAACCTAGGGGCAGGTTGTTGGGGTCAGGGTGTTAGGTTTAGGGTGGTAGGGTTCGGATTAGTGTGTCAGGGTTAGGGTGCTAGGATTGGGGTGGTAGGGTTAGGGTTAGGGCAGTAGGGTTAGGGTTAGGTCGGCAGGGTTAGGGTGTTGGGGTGTTAGGGTCAGCGCGTTAGGGTTAGGGTGTTAGGGTTAGAGTGTTAGGCTTAGGGTGTTAGGGTGAGGGTGTTCGGGTCAGAGTGGTAGGGTTAGGGTGTTAGGGCGAGGGTGTTAGGATTAGGGTGTTAGGGTTAGGGTTATGGTTAGGGCGATAGGGATAGGGGGTAGGGTTCCGGATCCATGGGGCGGGGCGGGGCCAAAGGGGGGAAGGGGTGGAGGGGGGTCCGATCCTCGAGTGCAACAGGGGAGAGTGGGGAGGTCCAAACAACCTTGCCCCCCCCTGGTGAAAGGGGCGGAGAAGGGGGGGGGGTCCGGGACGACGGATCAGGAAAGGGGGGGGGGGAAGTGGGGGTGGAGTCCCTGGACGACGGACTGGAGCAAGGGAGGGGGCCGGGAGGGGTCTTGGACCCCCCGCCCCCCCCCGGGGGAGCCAGCGGCACACCCTCCCAGATTTCAACACGTCATGGCAACTCTGGCCTGTGAGCTGCATGGCCTTTCCAGAAGCTGCCTCCAGGATGCTCGAGCTGCTTTTCGGCTCGGACCTTGGCATGCTGCTCCTCACCCGCCTGGCATCGCTCGGACGTGTGCACTTTTCCTTCGGCGAGGACCATCGAGGAGCATCCCTGATCATTTGGCGAAAAATCCACGCACGAAACCGGAAAAAAACACAGGGAATTGACGTCCGAGCGATGGCGAGCCAGTGCTTCGTGCTGACATTGACTTGCTCTAGCTGACCTCCGCCACACTTCAATGACAAGGCGCTGCCCAAGGCGGCACCTCATCGGAATCCGTCCCTGCATGTCTGAACGTGCTGTACAAGGTGGGAGCGAGGAAGTGCAGGCGGGGCGCGAAAGGCAGGAGCCGAGCAGCGTGAGCTCAACAGGCTTATACACGAGGTCGGGTTTGCACCAGACTCGTCGACATTGATTCGCAGGTCGAACGCGGCCGAGTGAAAGGAGGGAGGGAGTTTGGCTCCCATGTTCGAGCGCATCACCCGCAACGTCTTCAGCATGTTCCAATCCGACTGGCGCCCGGCGCGGGGCATCGATGATATGGTCTGCTGGCAGCAACGCGTGTGGAATGTTCGAGCCGATCACCTGGTTCACTACACGATAGAAGTCCGGAGATGTTGGCCTCAAGCTGGCCGCATTTCCACCGAAGATTTTGCGAATGCGAACTTCTTGTGCACACAGACGGTGGCGCGCGTGCCAGGGCGTGCTCAGCAGCCGCTTGGTGCATCGAGGTGGTTGTGTGCAGGGGGGGCTGTGCAGAGACGATCCCGATAATGATACCAGGAATTTGCATCAGTGATCCGATCTCCTCTTCCACGGTTGAAGCGGCTGCTCTAGATGAAGCGGCCAAGGGTGTCGGGACATTCGCGCTTGAAGTAGGCAGCGGGCCGTCCGACACGTGACCTAGGCCCCGAGAAAGAAAGACGAGGGACGAGAAGGAGGAAGAGGAGGCCAAGACTACGAGGACGCCTCGGAACAGGCGGCAGACACTAGCGTATTGCGGTCTCGTGTCTCCTCCCTCTGCTGCGGCGCAGGCCGACGCGCGCTGCCTCGCTGGCAGCCGTGGCGAGGGGTACTTGCAGGGCGCTCCAGGACACTGGCAGGCCAGTCTTCCCACGCGAGGGAGGAAGAGGGACAGGTGGGGAGGGAGGAGGAGGGAGGAGGAGGGAGGAGGAGGAGGAGGAAGAGGAGGAGGAGGAGGAGGAGGAGGAGGAGGAGTAGGAGGAGAAACGTCAGGTGAAGGGTTGCGGAGTAGTAGGAAAGGGGGAGGAGGAGGAGGAGGAGGAGGAGGAGGTGAGGAGGAGGTGGTGCAGGAGAATGCGCGGGAGGTGGGGGAACAGGGCGACGAGGACAGAAGAAAGAAGAGAAGGAGGTGCCCACTCTAAACCCAAAGCGCACAAGCGATGTTGCAATAATCCCTTATTTCATGTTCCTTATAAATTGGTCCCTGTAGGAATTTGTTTAAATTGCGGGAACGGGACCATTGACATAACCGCTTTTCGCAAATGTGTGTAACATCATGGGAGGGCATGGTTCCTGAATCGTGCCTGACCTACATCCTTGATGAGGTGTCGACGTGAACTTCCATGATCTGTGCGTCACCAAAAATCACAACACAATCATGCTACCCTCCCCAGCTGCCGCCCGAAGACTTTAACAAATAAGAGCTCCACTCCCCAACAGTCCACAATTTGGATATGATTGGGCAGAGCCAGAACATGTAAATACAAAGACGGCGCCACTATAATGGTGATCGGATCTGGGCACAGTTCAATGTCATACATGTTTTGGGGATCTTAAAACGTGTCAGCGCACGATTCTAGAATATCCTAGCAACTCAATGGCGCGAACCCATATAGAATTGTTCCGTCCTGACAATCCTGAATCAATCGTTCGTAAACACTAGTTCTGGGATGTCGACACCACGAAAGTCGCTGACAAATGCGTCCCAAAAATTCTAAATCGCGCCTGAACGCACGTCCTGGAGCAAAAACAACGCGAATATTTGTTGTACAAGCTGTTGTAAATTTTGGAACACATGAGCGCGGCGAAAAACACATTTTGAAAAAGAGCCAGCCTCCATCCTTGAAGCAGTTGCGTGTTTGAGTACGAGCGCGCGCTGTGTTAAGCCGAGCTCCATCTTCAAAACACCCACTTTCCATCCCTGAATGTGTAGCAACTTTTTGTGACGAATGTGCGCGGCGCGAAGGCGAGCGCCTCCATCTTAGAAGCTGTTGCACATGTCAAGTTCCAGTGTCATGAATGGTGAGGAATCCTCAGGCGAAACTCCCAGCCCAGCCTACGGGTACGTCTGGGGGCGCGACAGGTAGAAATTATTCACAAGGAACTGGATAGCGGAGGAGGGGGAAGAGGAACAGCAGAAGCGGCGGCCAACCCAATCGCAGCGTTGTATTCGGATTGCATATTTACCGGGTCCTTCAACGATTCGGGTAAGAATGGTTCCGTCTTCATTGTTTGGATCGGCATTCGGTGGGTACCAAATGGCACAGATGGGCATTACAACATGTCTATATAGATATAGAGATGACAAGCTGCTCACCCTTCCTCCTCCCCTTGCCTTGTGAGGTGCGACGGTATACTGAGAGGTATTGGGAGGCACCGGAAGTGACAGCGACGGTCA